ATAGTCTTGGTAGGAGTAGCCTATTTAATTTCGTAGTTATCGTGACAATTCAAAGGGGTTCTCTCGCAATTCGATAGCAATGTATTTATTTATATAGCAATGTTATTCTTCCAAAAGGCTGAACCCCAACTCTAAGGACCCCCCACCCCCGACCCAACAGAGCATTTGGGAAGATATATAGCAATGTTATAAAGAGTATGGATGGTAGACTAGGTTGATTGGTCGGATCGATCAACCACAAGGCATGAGTCGCGAGGACCAATCCAAAAAATTAATTGGACTAAGAAAGCTCATGAAGGTATTCAGTACGAAGCAACTTAAAAGTTTAATAGAATTGGACTTACTATTTATAATGTAATAAGGATTTGGCTTACTGTTCGCAATGTAATGAGGTTTGGGCTTCTTATTTCTAATGTAACAAGGACTTTCAATATAAGGTAGTCTAACATACAGTTTTATTTCTTCTAGGGCTCTTAGTACACTTATATAAATAGACCGCATACATGGGAAGAGGGAACAAGCAATTATCAATAATACAAAATATTTTTATTCTCTAATATATTCTCTATAATCATATAACCAACATTGATGTCGTCCATGGAAATTTGATAAGAAAAGTTTACGTTTGTTCCCTTTCTAGAACCCAAATACAAGTCATGATCGGTCGACCCATGAGGGCACGACTTGCCCGAAACCCTCAGCCAATCTAGGTCCATGAAACTAGCCAACCATATTGAACATTGAAGGCACGACAACCAACAGGTCGGTACTCAGTGCCAAGTAGTTAGACCTAATCCCTGTTGACGAGACGAGGTCGTTCGAGTTTTCAAGTATCAAACCGACAAGCCTCAAAGAGTAGAATACATTGAAGTTGGTTCCCACAAGGAGATAGCCAAGAGTAATGGTGAATCACCAAAACCTGCCTGGAAACCCAAGCATGGGGGTTGCGGAATTAGCAAAGGAAGTCAGGGACCTCCAATGCAAAGTAGAGTGTGGAAGGACCGATCAACCACTCGATCGCTACTACATGTCTACTAACCGGTACGAAGCAACTTAGAAGTTTAAAAGGATTGGACTGACTATTCATAATGTAATAAGGAATGGACTTACTATTCATAATGTAATAAGGAATGGGTTTACTATAGTGGAATTAAAATTATACTTTAATATTGCTCTAATAAACCTATTGTGTATACAAAATGAAGATGAATAGCAATACTGTCAAATGAACATAAAGTGTAATAAAATTATATTTCAGCATTCCTTCCAAAAAAATTATATTTCAACATTACTAAAAAAAATGAAATTAGTGTGTGAAAAAATGAAATTACAAAACATAACTCATACAACGGTTACAAACTAGGAAAATGGTAACAGATTTTTTTTCTAAAATTAAAATCGAACGACATCATTTTTCTTCAAAGTCCACGTTGTTACATGGACAATGATCCAAAATAAAATTTGCCAAATAAAACCAATTGGATCATCAAGTGAGCTCAGTAAAATTCAATAGAGGTAGGTTGTTAAGCAGGCCAATAAAAACCTACAATTAGGGTGATTTATTGGAATAGTTAAGAAAATTCAATGATATCGATTGTTAGGTATCGTCAACCTATAAAGTTCATCGTGTTTTTTTGTTGGGTCAATCATGAAAACCCACAATTTTTTTTTTTTTTGAGAGGTAAAAACAGAACTTATATTAAGAGTTCCAGAATGAAGTTAGGAGGAATAATGTCCCAAAACATAGCGTCACTCTGCAACGAGGAAATACAATCTCTAGCTAAAGTATGAGCTAAAACATTACCCATCTAGAAACATAAAAGACTGAACAAGAACTAAAAGTACTCATAAAATTAACACATTCTCTCGTAGAAATGCCAATATAAGATAGGATCTCTTAAGTAGCCAAAAGATTACCACATAGAATAGCGGAAAAATGACTGAAATGTGTAGGCACATGCATTTCCGAAAATATGACGCCGCTGGTGATTGGACAAAATTATGAAAAGGACGTTTGGGACATGCGTTTGAGGTCAGAAATGCATGTCCCAAACGTCCTTGTAAAAAAAAAAAATAATATTAACAAGGACGTTTGGACATGTGTTTCTGGCCTGAAACGCATGTCCCAAACGTCCTTTTCATAATTTTGTCCAATCACTAGCGGCATCATATTTTCGGAAATGTATGTGCCTACATACACATTTCAGTCATTTTCCCTAGAATAGCACAATCCGTGTAAATAGCAACTAACTCTTCACTCTTGTCCTTCAACCATGAAAGTGCCTCCTTGCAAGCTAGAGTTTCTGCCATAATAGCCGAGTCACAATACAGGAGAGGAGTGCTCATAGCCGCAAGAAAATCACCCGTCGGCGTAAGAAGAACCACACTTGCTGTCAGTGGCGAACCCAGAAATTTTATCCAGTGGGGAGAAACATTATAGTTTTAAAAAACAATGAAAACACTTAAGAAATATAGTCATAAATAATTAAATATTATTGGATATAAGCGAAAAATAAAACACATTAAAAATTTATAAAAATACTCATAACAAAATATGAAACATAACTAATTTGATAAAATAATTCAAATAAAAAACACTTTATAAATTACACATCTCATTATTAATATAAAGAAAAAGTTATATATATATATATATAGGGAAGGGTTCAGGTGCGGGTATAGCTTCCCGTGCGGTTGTGCGGTTAGATCTGAGCTGTTGATCAAATTTAGATCAACGGCTCAAATCAATAAAAATAAAAAAAAAAATAAAAAAAAAGTGGGTCGTGAAGAAGATAGCGCCTACACAGCGTCTTACACAAATGATAGCGTCTACACATAGCGTCTACACAAATGAGTAGCGTCTACACAAATGATAGCGTCTGCACAACCTCACGCACATTAAGTACAAACCCACACACATTAAGCACAGCCTCACGCACATTAAGCACAAACCCACGCACTTTAAATATTAACTCACAGATTTTAAGTTTCTAACAACTATTGACATTAAGCACAACCTCACGCACATTAAGTACAAACCCCACACACATTAAGCACAATCTCACGCACATTAAGCACAAACCCCACGCACTTTAATATATTAAGTCACAGATTTTAAGTTCCAACAACTATTGACATTAAGCACAACCTCACGCACATTAAGTACAAACCCCACACACATTAAGCACAACCTCACGCACATTAAGCACAACCTCACGCACATTAATCACAGATCCGCTCACCTTAATTTTGACCTACATGCAAAAATTGCAAAATTGCCACCGCGTTTTTTTTTAAATTTTGACAATTCTGAACGTTGATTTAAGCGAGATGAATGGTCCAGATTAAACCGCACAACCGCACCTGGACTCTAACCGCACCAGAACCTCTATATATATATATATATATATATATATATATATATATATATATATATATATATATATATATATATATATATATATATAAATAAAAGAACTTGTTAGAAAAGCCAAACAAAGGGATTAAAAATAAGGAAATTTTGTTGAAGAAGAACAAGGAATTCAAACCCCAGACCTTTCCCAGCATTAGACACAAGCCTTACCAACTCGCCCAAATTGTTTATTAGTTACTTTAATCTGTTTTTTTTATATTTATATCTAAAACATGTATGTATATATATATATATATATATATATATATATATATATATATATATATATATATATATATATATATTATATATATGGGGGTGGGGTGAGTGGGGCAGCTGTCCCCACTGTAGGTCCGCCCCTGCATGCTGCTACTCTTCCCGTATAGTACCTCCGTCGTATGCTGCATTGATGAAGCAGCGAGCTTGATCAGCCGAAGGAAGAGGCTGATCATGCGTGCATGGTGCTGGTGAGACTGAGGACCAATCGTTATACCCTGCACCACAGCGCACATAGCACTGTGCGCCCCACGCCTCCCAAAACGAAATCGTTTTGGAAGCGCGGTAGGGAGTTGACGTGATTATGTGTATTTGTTTATACAATTATGTGTTTTTTATACAATTATGTACATCCGAATCAGGAAATTTAAAAAAAATATGTGTGTATTTTGTTATATAATTATGTACATTCATGTATACAATTATGTGTATTTTAATATAAAATTATGTACATTTTTAAACATGATATTTTTTTTTAAAGAAAATTAACCGCTGACACTGGGCATTCAAAATTTCAAAAAGAAAAATCTGAAACAACGTCGTTTTGCATCAGGGCGCACAATGCAATGCGCGCCCTGGTGCATGATATAAATTGCCGAGACGGCGTTCCAATTCTGCATAGCTCTTGCCGCCGATGATACAACAGAGCCAGGCGTTCCACAAGTGTTATTTTAATTATGTGAATCTCAAAAATTTAACAAAAGTAAATTCATGACTGAGATGTATTATTTGAAATGGTTAAGTGTGTGTGTGACCATCATTTGTTGAGAAAGGAAGAAATTAATGGATGTTCAAATTTTAAGCAAGAGTTCTTATTAGTGAACTAGACAATTATCAAAACTATTATGCATGTGAACTAGACAATTATTATCAAACTATTATGCAATTTACTATTCTACGGATTAAACCAAAATTTTTCCGCTTATTTCTTTAAAAAATCCTTATAATTTCAAGTTTGAGTTGTCTTTAGTAGAACTTTTAGTATTTTTTTTAAATATAAAAATTATATTCATAATATTAAATTAGATATTGCAGAAATGAATTATGAATAGGTTGAATAAAATCTAAGATATGCAGAGAACCAGGTAAAGCAGGATGGAGTACATATTTAATCACTATACAGTATCTACATAGATACATCAAATTAAAGAAGGCCACCAAAATCAACCATGCTTCAAGCAGAGAAGAATATAGAACTGGAAAAGTTTAAGTTGTAGGTTACAACTGAAGACCATTAATCACCATCCATACTGCTTTCCAAACAACACATAATGAAAAAAAAAACAAAAAAACAAAAAAAACAAAAAACAAAAAAAAAAAAAAAAACATAATTCAGATTTCAGAGATTACAACTTTAAACAAAAGCCACTTTGATCTTACATAGTCAACATGACAATAAGAAACTACAGTTATGTGTCACTTCAAAATTGCTTAAATCCCAGAGTGAATATGAAAATTTGATATCAGCCACAAATGGTTCAATTTTTCCCAGACTTTTCATGGTAAATAACTTTGCATGCATTTCACATCATCATGGTACAAGAGGCTTGCTATCCCAGGTCTCCCTTACTTCAATTAAGGAGGGACAGTATCTTTTGGCTAGGACTTCAACTTGTTCCGAAAAGGGTTTGTTCCATGGTTCCCTATGTGAAGAACCATTTGCCTCCAGCGCTTCAGACATATTTCTCCGGACCTATGTTCCACAAGATTATCCCAGTCCACATTTTCTATGCAGGTTTCATCCAAGTTATAAAGTGCACCAATTAGGCGATAATCATCAGAGTCGGACCATATACCTTCAGCTACCATAGGTGATGTTAACTTATTGTACCACTTCAGACAACAATTTGGACCATTACGTGTGGACAATTTATCACTAATTGCTGTCCAACAGATGTTATCCCTTAGCATGCCATGCTTGGATTTCTTGTCTTCAAAGATCCTCACTTGCAGATCAGTGTTGACTAAATCAAATAAGCTCTGGTACTCATCCTGAGACCAGTGTCCTCTCTTTACGTTAGGTAATTTTATTCTGCGCCATGTATCCTTCACGTGAAACCTGTGTCTGCCAAGTTCTTCAGCAAGTGATTTCCAGTCATTCCCGTGTAATTTATGGTGCCGCAGTACCAAAGCTTTTTCTTCTTCAGTCCATTGACGGGTTTCAGATCTTCGGAATAGTATTTGAGCACGATAATAGACTGCAACGTAAGGCCTATTTGGTAGGGCAGCTCCTATTTCCTTCCAACAGTTTCTTACTTCAGGGTGAGATCTACTTTTAAAACCATCTCCAAACCTTCCTCACCCAAATTACGTACCGCTATGTACTTATAAACGGCTTCTTTAATTTTCTCATCTTCTATTTAGAGAACCGCTTACCTCGAATCAACTCCACTTCTTCATTTTGATCATTCTCACTCTCAGGAACATTAGACTCGG